AATTCCAAGTTCCATGATTAACCAGTGAAACATTTAACCTCATAACCCTTAAAATTTGATTACTCTTGTTAAAAATTAAAACACTGAAGAAATTATGAAATTACCCTTGAGGGGTAAAAATATTCGGATTAACCCTAATGGAGAAAGTACCCTAAGAATTCGTATCTAATTTGATAAATTACTGATTTAACTGTTAAGTTTCTATTTTGTTTGAAAGATTTCTGATAAACAATTCGTAACATTTGAGAAGGCACTAGACCTAGAATTTCTTATTTATGAGCAAACACCCGAAGACTAACTTATCGAAAGTACTCTAATTGTTAGAATTGTTTGAAATGACTAAAATAAATGACAAGTTTGAAATAAATGGAAAGATTGTACGTAATGTAAAATGACCAAAATACCCCTAAAGTGCGAAATAACCTAAATTACCCCCAAGCCCTGGAATGACTAAATACTTTTAATCTCTGGAATGAATAAATCTACCTCGAATACCAGAATGATCCAAATACCCTCATGAGTTGGACTAAGCAAATGCCTTTGGATAACTTATGAAGATATCGATGAAGCTTTAAATGTTGCAACGCCCCTAAGGTTTTTAGAGTGTGACCTAAGTAGGTTAATCATCTCTAATACTATTACAATACGGGAAGTAAATAAATATTGCTTAAATACCTGTTTGTCTCCTCATTATCTGTCCAAAGATGGTTCTGAAGGTGATCAGTTCGACTCTACAGTATAGCCAGTTTTAAGAAATGAATATTCGTGAAGTTTATCTACCTACATAATTGATAAGTGTCGCCATGCTGGGAATTGTATAGTGCGATTGGAATTTTGTAAATCGTTGCATACCCTTATTAAATGGACTTATCAAATTTCTTAGGAATTAAATGACAAAAATACCCTAATAAGCTTGATTGATGGAACCACTTTAGTAATGTTTGAATCCTAAATAAATTTGATGCAATAATTCCTGAATACCTTACTGATATATATGAATACTATATGATCTTGATAAATGATTTTCCAAATGACTGATGAATCTGTTAACTATGAAACTCCCTTTTTAGAGATTTCGTTCTAAAATTCCATCAGTTTGCATAAATTTCGTGGCTCCCTACCTAATAAATACCAAGTACCCCCGAAAAATAATTAGATTCTCTATTGTGTTCCCTATGTGTTATATGATTGTTTTATTTGTTCTGAAATGTGATTCATCGAAGTTACTAAATTACTGAATATTTTAACTGTTCAATATTCTGACTTACTGATGTATTGATTTATTATTATGAACTATGTCTACATGATATGTACTATTTGGTTACCTACTAGAAAATATAATTATACATGATTTATGGGTCATGGAAATTACTGGATTTCAGTATGAACCCATTTATTAAGATACTGTATGGGTAGGATTTTGGAGTATGGAAATTCAGCTCTGATCAAGCTGGTAAATCCTTACGGACCTAAGGTGACTCTTGGGTAGGCTCTGAGGCCCTAAGGTATTTCCTTGGATAAGCTTAAAGGCCCCAAGGTATTCCCTTGGGTAGGCTCTTAGACCCCAAAGTACACTATCTGATAGGCTCTCAATCCCCAAGGTAATCCCTTAGGTTGGCTCCTACGCCCAACGAGCCTAGAGGTAAGTCCTTATAGATGCATTTCTAGGGAAATATATATCGGTGTTCGGTTAGAGGGTATTATTGTTGTTTTAAAATATATTTTAAACTACTAATGTTTTTAAAGGATATGCACACGTTTTTCTGTTTTGTTGGAACACACTAGACTCCCAAATTCAATATTTTGAATCTGTCTCTCTGAATACTTCCTTCAGACCATAAATTCCTGTTTGTAACCAAAGACTTAGCTAATGGAATATGAAATCACTGCTAGAATCTGATGATGTCTGTCCCGCTAAAGGAAGCTATGTTTTACCATATACTTGATGACTTATCGCATTCATCTGGTAGTTCTGTATTGCTGAACTTTCCAAAGCTCACTCTGTCGCTTACCATTTCAGGTTAAAGGAAATGTCATTGTGTTGCTTTCGACATCAGTATTGGGAATTCCTTCAGCGTTGCTTGCGGAGTACGGTGTACGTGTAATTAGGGGCTTATATGCCACTGTTGTTTTTATATTGGTGTCTGAACTCATTTTAATATTGTATATATTTGACTTATGTTTTAAATATATGAATGATTTCTGAACTTGTATTTTTATTTATAATTGTATTATTACGTTTTCAAATGATTTAACAAAATTTTACATTTCTTTGGATTTCCAGTTTGGGTCATTTCGGTGGCCATAATGTGACACATCAGATCAAATTGGATCACTCATATCTGTCTGAGGATGTTACATTTAATGGTATCAGAGCTTAAGTTGAGTCGAGTCTTCTGGGTAGATCGACTGATCGACTGTCCTAGGATGTATGGTCTGTACATGCCCCTAGATTATGACCGTACTCTTCTGAGCCAGAACTATGATATCAAGTAATCGTTCTGTAATAAGTATACCAAAGTATCTTATCTGTTACGACTCAATCTGTGCAAAAAAGAAATAATGTCAATATTCATCCCAATTTTGAAAGTTACCCAACGAGTAACGTGGGAGATTATTTGTTCGAGAACTTTGACTCGACTCCCAACTTGAATTTGTTTATTTATAATTGTATTATGATTTCAAATGTTTTAACAGAATTTTAAATTTCTCCGGATTTTCAGCGTGTGTCGTTTCGGTAGCCATATTGTGACAGATCAAATCACCCGTATTGGTCTGAGGGTATTATATTTAGTGGTATCAGAGCTTAGATTTCTAGGTAGATCGGTCGATCGATTGGCCTAGGATGTCTAGTATGTACATGCCTCTAGATTATGACTATATATAATATATAAAATCGAGAATTTTTCACACTTAAAAATAGTTTAAAATTATTTATGACAAATTATTTATAAATTTTGTGAAATTACAAATTTTAACAATTTAAAATATTATAATAATGATGTTATATCAAAATCAAAATTTAATTCAACTATGATTTAATTGTTGCTTATGTGAAATGTTATAGCTTTGTAAGTCGAAGATACACAACAACAACTAATTATAGTTTTAAAACTATAAATTAATATTCATGCTTCCACAAAAAAACAATTTTAGATTGTGGGTTTCGCTAGGATTGTGAGTCTCGCGAGGCAGGCACCCGTTATTCTTAACATTCCATAAAATATGTAGTTTTAAAACTATAAATTTATATTCATGCTTCCACAAAAACAGACCCACAATCCTGGTTTAGATGCCTAACCATGCAAGCACTAGGAAATACAATTAAAAATAAAGCAAAGGTTGCCATTAACTGGCCCAACCATGGCAGCTTTGATTTTAGTTGTCACATGCTAAAGTTTTGAGTTGGGAATAAGATTAGAAGGAGAACAATGGGGTTAACAACTAAATATGTAACTAAATTCAGAAAAACAAATAAGAAAACTTAATTGTGAGAAGAAACATTAATGGGAACTGAAGACTTTGACTTTGCCCAAGTCATTATGGTTTAGTAAAAAAAGTTTGAGAGAAAGCAAGAGACTACCGTCGATCTTAAAGTTTTATTTATAATTTTAAAACTATACAGTTTGTGAAAACTAAGGGACTACCATCGATCCTAAAGCTTTATTTATAGTTTTAAAACTATTCAATTTGTGAAGAAGAAGAAGAATGGGTTAACGACAATTAAGCGCCACGTCAGAAAAAACTAACAGGAGGTAACGATAGGGACCTTATTGAAAACTAGCTAAAAGTTCGATGACTGTATTACAAGTTTCAAAAGTCAGGCAACCAAAATGAAAGCCCCCTAAAAGTTTGGGGACTATTTATATACTTTACCTTTATATTTTTTAATGATGACATGACATTATCTTATGGCGATATTACCGTTAATTTTTTAAAGACAGATGACCAAAATGAAACCAAAACTAAACGTTTAGGTTTTATTTTTGAGAAAAATTAGTTTAGTAACCAAAACGGAATAAAAGTGATAGTTGAGGTGCTAGTGGTGTAGTTTACCCAAAACACAAATAACGTCGTGAAGACTGAAGATTATTTACTGATACTTAGGGGCTGTTTGTTTGCCTCTTAATAGAACCATTCAACGCTGAATGCTGAAGTGCTGACTGATTCAGCAAAACAGTGCTAAATGATTCAGCAAAAAATACATTCTGAATCATTCATAGTCAGTTATCAAACAATATGTCACATTCAGAGCCAAATGATTCAGAGTCTCTGAGTCATTCAGCGCTTAATCATTTAACTCTTAATCATTCTGAAATAAACAAACCGTACCCGCTTTTTCACAATGGTCAAAAACCTAATTTTATTTACCCTTTATTTCTTAAACCTAGAAATCAAATTTGCAGAAACCCCCAAACCTCTGATAATGAAAATGGCAATCGCGAGAACCGGCTTCTACGTCGACGATTATCTGGAGTGTATGTTCCAATCCTCGCATTGTTCAAATTTCTCACTTCAAATTTTAACTTTTTATGATTTTTTTATAATTAATTTCGAGCTTCAACTTCATATTTAATTTAAAGTTTCATTTTTCTCCTTTTTAAATTTTCAATAGACGCCAGCACACTACCTGCTGAGCTTCAGAGACTCCAGAATACAATCCGCGAACTTGATGAAAGGTCCCAATGTAAGCCAATCCAATTTTTGGAGTTCAATAATTAGGTTTCTAAATTTGGGGGATTTTAATTAAAATTTTATATTTTTTCGAAGCTATGATTAATCAGGCTAGACAGCAGACTAAGTATTGTTTAGCATTGGTGGCGAAGAGAGGGAACGGAAATAGTTATATGAATAATAGTCATGAGGATGAGGACACCATTGAGAAAATGAAGAAAGATATAGAGGCAAGTTAAGAAAATGCCTTGAGCTTGTGCACCGAGAAGGTTTTGTTGGCACGACAAGCGTGTGATTTGGTGAGCATTTGCAATCGGCTATGTGTTGCTTTGTAAATAGTTATTCTTCTGTTTTTGAGGATTGAGGTTTCTTGTGGTGTGATAGTGTGGAACGCCATGATATTGCTATCTTGTGCACATCCTCAAGTTTAAATCAGCATATCTGAGTTCAAGTCATCAGTGGTAAGAAACTTAAAATAGTTATTTGTATCATGTAGCTATAAACCTATAAGTGTTTCTACTTTGTCATTGTAATGTTTGAATGAAGAGTGAAGAGAACTAGAAATCTGGTTCCATCTAAATAACAGCATACCTTTGGAAGCAATTCTATTGGCTTGTGACTAACTAGATGGGTTGCATTTTATTCCTTCCCCTTTCTAAGAGAAGTCAATCAGCATCTTGTTCTGTCACAATTATGGAATGTAGTTCAAAACCATCCTGGGTTATTTTCATACACAGCTTCTCGAGCTGCTGTCATTTTGTGAATCATATTGATTAAAAGGTCACCAAATTTTATAACTGATACTTGTTTCAGGTAGATAACCATGTAAAATGTCTGGACGAGGATTTGACCTACTTTGCTGAAGATCTAAAGCACGGTATAGTAATAGCAATCAAAATTGTGCATCATTAATGGACGGAATGCTACTTCAGGTTGTTAACATTTGTCACTACGCTTTTTCTTCCTGCAATTTTATCAGAAGGAAAAATCCCCCCGGATGAGCCTGCAATTCTTCCTCCATTGCCTATTGTTCCTAAGCTTGAGAAGCTCAAGCCCATTTATTTTACACCCCAATCAAAGAGGCTGGATTACAGGGATAGAGACTGGGATTGAGAACGTGATAGGGATTTAGAGCTCATGCCTCCTCCAGGAAGCCATAAGAAAGATTTTGCTCCCTCTGTTGATGTTGATCAACCCATTGATCCAAATGAACCTACTTATTGTGTCTGCCATCAGATTCTGCCTTGTTTTAGGTTTTTGTACCGATTTACTTAATTTTCCTCGTTGCTTCTTGGTTTAGATGCATTTGTTTTGTACCTTATTTAGGTATCATTTGGAGATATGATTGCCTGTGACAAAGAAGATGTGAGTTATTTCGTCTTAGTCTTCATCTCTTTATTTATATATTTAGTAGTATTTTTATTTCCTTACTTGCCTGTGTTATATTTAACTGTTAATCGTTTAGTATTCTCATATTAATTTCATCAAGTTTAGGGTTTGTTAAAAAAATTCCAATATTTTCATGCATTTGGAAGGTTCTCGATAGATTATATCCCCCATACCATGTTTGAATATGATTCGAGCATAGGTGTAACTAACAGTTCTATTTATTTAGTGCCAAGGAGGTGAATGGTTCCATTATGCATGTGTGGGGCTGATTTCGGATACAAGATTCAAGGGAAAATAGTACTGTCCAACCTGTAGACTGCTTCCACAATGCCAATAATGATACATATGTATTTTGCATGATTTGAGATTCATATGTATTTCACATGATTTGAGATCTATTAGTAAATTGTCTATTATGATTTTTTCAGCACTCTTCAGAATTTAGGAAGTAATTGCAACTGTAATTCACCAATACAGATAAGGTTTGTTACAAAGTTGTGAACCATTTAACTTTGGAAAAAGAAAATTACAGTGCTTACAAGTAAATGTGTAGAAATCTTATTGTTGGATTGTATAAAAATAGATGTTGCAAGAGCTTGATGCTTACTCTCAGCAATTCAAATGATTCATTGGTAATTCATATGGTTTTGGAACATTCATATATTTGCATTTTATCCATCATGCAAGATGATATATTCAGACATTTGTACATAAGATCCTTCAAATATATGTAAAACAATCATCACCTTTTTGGAGTATTGTTTTTTGCGATTCGTTTATTTGGGAGGCATTGGGTTTGCTGGTAGTAGTTCCTAGACATTTGTAATCCTGCTGAAATTGTACTGGTTTGTCATCGAGTTATTAATAAAATTATTTGGGCACTCTTTTCCCATTCCACTAGTTGGTGTTAGTCTTTCCTAATGCCGATTATGAGTTGTTTTAATGAGATCCCACCTTATTTAACCAAAAAAAATCATCACCCTAAATCCGGGTGTCTAAGCTTCTACATGATAGAAAAATACCAAGTAAATTAAATTGAACAAACGCCAAGTACAAATAGATCTTTCTCCTTGGGCAAATTTTTACCCTCCAACTCTCATTAATAGATGAAAATCACAAACAACGCGGAAAAACTCAGGCGGGTATAGAGGAGTTAAGATCGCCTCACCATGCAAAATCTTTAATGCTATAAAGGCTGATATAAATTAGCTAATCTTGTTAACAAATCAACCCAAAGTACACTCCTGTTCTATATCTTAGAAGCCAATTAGCAAACACTCACGAACTGCTTTCGTCGCCTTCAGTTGCAGCAACTGATCCGTTCTCTTCTGTGGGTTTCACATTCCCATTCGCCTTGACTAAATTGTCCATTGATGGAACAGTTGGTTCTTCTACCAAGGTCGCCTCTACAGATTTTTCCAAGTTCTTGTTTGTCATCACTGTATTTTCTTTGTTATCAGAAACAGCATCATCATTAGGTTCCCCACTCAAGACCAGATTCAGAGGAATATAAAGAAATTGATATATATATATATATGCAGTTTATGCGAGCCATTTATAGGATTCTAAAAAGTATGAAATGCATATTGTAAGTAATACGCGGCAAGCAAATGCAAAATCAGGACACAAAATTCAAACAAGAGTCAGATATACCAGTTTCTGCGACAGCTGATGCTTAGCCTTTTTCTCTTGGGTGATCTTTTGACGAGCCTCATAGAATTCAAAATCATCGAGAATGCACGTCTTACTGGAATGATCCTTAAAGATTTTAAGAATTTGAATCCCCTGCTCAAAATTAACCTGTAGCAGCCACCGACTGTTTTACAACGAGGATGATGAAAATATCACGGAAGGTGAAATATATAACCTATGTTACCCCTACTCATTTTCCCTTATAGTGTTGGAACCTAACACCTGTGTACAAGGGTATGGTTCTCCAAATGTTTGAAAGAACTTGGAAACATCAACTAGTTTCAGGTGCATACCCATATCCAACACTCATTCGAATCAGAGTAGAACATACAGTGAAAGAGATAGAATACCTCTTGGGTGTCCCTACTATTAGTAACAGGCTTGTTCTCATTGTTCTCGAGTGTTATGTGCCTCAATGAAGTGTTTGGCACATCCTTAATGATGTGCCACTTCACAGGGAAGTAACCAGTCCACTTGTCCTGTTGCCAGTATTCTACGGTTTTGTTAAAATCAACCGGACCCACCATCTCTGCTACCCCAATGAATTGTCCACTGGTATTAACCTGGAAAAGGTTCAGGCCTAGTAACATTCAAGCAAATTATACACTAATTATATCAAGACAGTGGATAAATGTAATCATGCTTACCGAGAATAGTAGAAACACGGGACAGCTATCGGGCTTCTCTTTGGCCTCATGGAATGCTGCATTAAGTTTCTTGTTGCCAGTAGATGTGCTAGCCCACACATTGTATTTGATACTTTTGTGGACATCATCCTCACTATAGGATTTAATGACAAAGAACTTTGCATTTGAATAGTTCTCAGGAAAATCTTCTTTGTTATACCGTCCAATATCTGGAATAAGAGAAACACTGTTCTTCTTATTGCTCTCAGTTAGTTGAAGGTTCAGCTATTGTTGCAGGTCCGAGACCATCTGGATTCTTATACCCTTTTACTCTAGGTCCTTTGTTCAGCTCACTTAAACCATCCGTATTTTCTCTTCCATGACCACGACCCTTCGACCTGTTGTAACCAACGGGAAACCACCCTAGTCCTCTCTTCCAAGCATCATAACCGTGTGATCCAACACCAGAATTGCCTCTAATGGCATTACCATAGCGATCATAAGTCATGTTGTTAGAGTACATGTGATTCATGTATCCATAAGCTGGGGCCACACCCGATGATGGTCTTGCATTGTGCAAATTCTGGATTCAAATCATCAGATCAATCACATCAATTGGCAATTAAATATCCACCTAGATCATCTATCAGTGCATATATCTGGGTTAGAATTTAGATATCAAAAGAGCAGGGATTCAGATACAAGTAACGAAGCAGTTTGAACATACCTTAACATAAGGGAAATGGTGAAAGTTCTGATTCCTTCCTGATGGAACATTGTTTGTGTACGAAGAGAACCCACTATTTACAGCATGTTTGGATTGCCCATTAGAAGAAATCGACATGTCTAACCAAGGAATTGTTGACTGAATCCCATCATAACTAAACCTTGGATCTTGAAAACCTTGGGGTAGATTACCTGTTGGCAAGCCTCCTCTTTTATAGGAAGCATTCGGATTTAGAGAGAAGCTTTTAAAAGTTGACTTCAATGAACCTGACCCATTATTACCACTCAAACCCACACCATTTGGCATAGTAATCGAATTTCCCTTATTTATTTCAGTGGATAAGGAAACCTGATCACCTACACCACAAGTTAAAACGTCGACTTGAGAAGTATTGGCTTGACTAGTTTGAAAAGGTGGTTGGTAATTGGGACTTGGATAGTGGTATTCTTGCAGCGCAAGCAGTTGACCATCATGTCCCATAGCAGGAAGAGGTGAACTCAGCATGGAATACACTCCGTATGGCATATAACCAAAAGTTTGCTGGTACATATACGAGACATTATCACCATAAAAATCCTGTCAATAAAGCTTATCACAATCCGAATGTTAAAAAAAACCCATCATCTGAAAATCAAATTGTCAATGATAAATTTCCAAGGAACTTCAAGAAAGAATTAGCCTTCTTCTGCAATATAACAGTGATATTCGCTACAGCATAAGTTCATTTATCTCTCAAAGATTTTGAATTAGTCTCATCACCAATTATCAACCATCAAACCTTGAGAGAATGATTTCACTTTAAGAATCTAAGTCCAAAACCCGAACACTATGCATATCCAGACCTGAATATGGAGATATGGCCTTCTAGAGATCCTGCAAATACATGGAAAACTTAGAAAAAACGGAACATACCCTCGTTGGACAGATGCTCGTATCTGACACTCACATCCAAGTTTAAGTAACATCGAGTAGGATAACATCAAACATCTTTACGCATGCAAAGAAGTCTGTTCATTATAATCAGTGTATTCAAGTAGCCAAGAAACCAAGTTTAATTACAGCTTGAATTACACAAAATCGAATAAAATCACTATCCAACTAATCCATCTAACAAATAACAATTAGAGCTTTTATCATTAACAAGATTAAGAAACAATCATCTCATAATTGAAGCACTACCTTGTTGACAGTCTCAGGACCTTTTGTGGTCATTGCTTGGGAATCTAGAGACAGGTTCTCCAGTGAATCTGCAATTCCTGTGATTATGGAAGTAAAGGATAAATACAAAACCGACAAATTGAAAATTAAATTCTATAAATTTTTAGATATATCAAAAGCAAATCACTTGAAACAACACAAAACAAATAGGTATAATCTATCAACATCATATAAAGATTCAGTAAATTTATCTCAATCTACAAATAGCATCAATTAAAGATTCAAAGATAAAACACATCAATTCATAAGCTTCCAAATTCATCAAACCTAAATCATTAAGAAGATGAAATGTTTAGCTAAAAATATAGAAATAAGCTTGAACCAATTAAGAAAACTTTTCAGTAAACCCTACTAAGCCCCATCCAGAAAATCACAAACAAATCTCAATAGCAAATACCAAAAGATAAAATTTTGAGTAAACCGATAAGAAAAAAAGATAAAATTTTGAATAAACCATTAGGAAAAGATAAACTTTTAAATAAAACCCTTACAAAAAAAATCAAATAGTCATTGGAGGTATTCCAATAATATATACAAATTAATGAGTTAACACCTCAAAACAAAAGGAAAATACCAAGGACCAGTATCTGATAACAAAGAAAAACACAATATTTATCCATAAATCTACAAAAACAAAGCATACCAAGAGGAGTGAAGTTAGCAAGGATACGATCAGAGCTGGTCATGATCAAAGATCAAGGGTGTAGGCTTAGAGAGAGTACTATCGAGAGCAAGCAAGAGAAAATAAAGAGAGAGAAAAAAGGAAAGGAAAAACCCTAGCTAGACTTGAGAAACACTAGAACCGTTGGGGAAAGAAAAGAAGAAAGACGTGGGGAAGGGGTAGCCACCAAAACCCCAAGAGCATGGGGAGAGTCGGGTTTAAGACTGAATGCAAAGAAGAGACTAAAAATATAATTTTTATTGCATTAAACACAATCACTAAATCATTGCCTTTTCATCATCCAGAAAAAATTTCACTGCCTTTTCACAAGTTCCCTTGTTTCCCCATAATACCGCATAATTAGGCCTGAAAATGAAGTCTGTAAATGAACTGAACGTTTAACGAATCGTTATGAATTGTGTAATAGGAAGTTCGTTT